AGAGCCTATGCCCGATACCATCTGGCCCTGTTTGCACCAACTCTGGGGACAAAGCAATCCTTTTTTTTTTTTTTTTTTTAACTGATGAATGGTTTAAATACCCTGGCACCAGTTAGGCTGAGACCTGTAGTGGAAAAATAGACTGAATCCTTCAGTGGAAATGGCAGTCAGGTCCGGTGGTGGCTCACGCCTGTAATCCTAGCTCCTCAGGAGGCTGAGATCTGAGGATTGAGATTCAAAGCCAGCCCAGGCAGGAAAGTCCGTGAAACTCTTATCTCCCAATTAACCACCAAGAAAGCTGCAAGTCGAGCTGTGCCTCAAGTGACAGAGCACCAGCCTTGAGTGAAAAGAGTACTCAGGCCCTGAGTTCAAGCCCTTTAGAACACACACACACACACACACACTAGCAGCAGCAGCAGCATGCAGGGGTAAAACATGCCATGTGTACCAGATTTCCTGTACTCGAGACTGCCAGCCTGGCCACTGCCCATGTGGGACCTGGGACATAGAGCTTGTATAAAGGAAGAGAGCCTTCCTTTCTTTACTGGTGATCACAACAGCCCCTCCTGTTGGGAGGACTAAATGACTGACCAAATAAAAGCCCTTAAACATAGCATAGCTTCATCCCAGAAGACACTCAACGTTAGCATGTACTACAGTTACCCAGATTTTGCAAGCGAGGCTCGCAGAGATGAAATCTGCTGCCCGAGGTCACCCAACCACAGAGCTTCCACACTGCTTCTTTCTGCCTCCTGGTTTATTCTAGTCTGGCATCAACCTGACGAGCGATTATATGATTATAGACTCGGAAAACCTGACTTCCTTGGCGTGAAGCCCAAGCATTGTTTTTCACATAGGGTTTCATTATGAAGCCCAGGCTGGCTTCAAACTCACCATCTTCCTGCCTCCCTGAGCCTCTTGAGTCTGGAGTTACCAGTGGGAACCACCAAGCCTGGCTAGCATTGGGACTGGGTTTAAGGTGATTGCTAAGTGCATGCAAGGTGGAGGCTAGCTATCCGGCCTTTGAGATTCTGGATTTCTTTATACTATCATCGCTGTCTTCATCCAGGACACAGGCCATTGTGATCACGATAGAGCCCTGCTCCCAGCTCCTGTTCTTTCATGCTGAACCCTTGGGGATCTTTCTTTTCGGTCTGAGCCTTGCACTTGTTAGGCAAACGCCCTTCAACCCTTTGTCATTTCATTTATTTATGTATTTGTTTATTTTTGTCAGTCATGGGGCTTGAACTCCTGGCCATCCACTTTGAGCCACACTGTGTGTTAAGCTAAGATCTCACGGGGACTTTCCTGTCCGGGCTGACTGAACCACAATCCTCAGATCTCAGCTTTCTGAGTAGCTAGGATTGCAGGTGTGAGCCTCTAGTGCCTGATGCATTTAGTTTTTTAAAAAATATCCTGTGCTCAGACCATGGATAGACTCCTCTGCTTCCACGCCCTGAGCAGCTGGGATTACAGGTGTGAGTCACAAGCCTGATGCAAACTTGAGCCCTTCTAAATACCCTTGCTGTATCACCAGCATGGGTCACTCTGTGCTGGGGTGAGGAAGAAGGCCCAGCTGCGTCTCTCTCCCTCTCCCTGTGACCTGGCAGTACTGACCTCAGAGACGCTAGCCTCACCCTGTTCTCTTGTTCTGAAATGCTCCCTCCTCCTTCCATCCCTCTGCTCAGCCGCGCCAGCAGTTCCTGCCCATCCCTGAAAACAAAATGCAGGGCTTGACTCCTCCCCTGCCCTCCCCAAGGGTCTGGCTCTTACATGCCCACACCATCCCAGCGTCTGCCGTAAATACTAGGTGTTTACGACGCTTCTTCTAGAACGTGAGTTCACCTTCTACAGTCATCCTGCTGTCCCTTTCTATGACTTGTCCTAAATGAAGCTTTCTCTAAGTTGTCTCTAAGGAACGTATACTACGTGTGCCATCAACACATGTCAAAGAATTATTTAACAAATCCATTTCCAACCCAAAGAAATCCACAGTCTCCCTAACACTTCCATTATAAATATCTTTTTTTTCTTTTAATTCAAGAACACTGATTAACACAGGAAACAGATTTAATTCACGGAATTGGCATCTGATCACCAGAGATGTGGAGACATGTTAGGTTTCTGTAGTAATTGGCATGGTCAACAAAGTATAGTAAACAAGATCACTTTGTATGAGTTTAAGTCTGCGATAGTCCTAGCTATAGTTTCTGCCATGAGCTGATATGGACAGATAGATAGAGCTAGGTAGGTGTAGCTGTATAGATACATCAACATTGTGCACAGTTTTGCATGGTTACTGAGCGTCAGTAAAAATCATAAAAAAAAAAACCAAACCCACATTTATAATAAAAGACAGAATGTGCTAAGACTGGCTAGTATTGGACTTCGTACTCTGGAAGAGACAAGACTCACTCGAGACATGTACTAAACTCTATGGCACTAATGTCTGATGGTTTGTTTCCAGATCATCAGCCTCAGCAGTACTTGGTCCAGGGCTTGGCCCTGGACAGTGGCCTGTCGGGTTCTCAGGCCTTCTACCAACCTCTTCCAAGTTTCTACAGTTGTGAGCTTGCTTGGCCCCCAAATTCATTTCCTTGGAATTCATTCAGCTAAACTCCCAGCCCCCAAGAAGTGATCTCAAAAACACACTGTACCCCAAGTTGAACAGAAGTTGTAAGTAAATGGCTTAATTTCTTTTTAAATGAGAAGTGAACTTTTCTTGATGTATCTGGAAATAACTTTTCAGAGGAAGGGAGTGTAATGTCTCTGCCAATGCCTTACTGAAAGCAAAGTATTTGAAGAGGTCCTGACTTAAAACCCTTTAAACTCCAAGAGCTTACTGAATATCTAGAGTCTCAGGAGAGGCCAAACTCCAGCCAGTGAAGGAATTTTGGTTTGTTCTGGCATTTTTCTTATTGGCTAAGTAAGACCCAGAACTGATGTCCCTTTGTACACACCGTTCCTTCCCTGCAACGCACTTCCCTAACCCATCTGCTTGGTGAACTCTTCTTGCTCATTCTACAAAACCCTTCCCAGCCATCACATCTCCTGATTGCTCCTCTGAGCCTTGGGCAATTCAATACTGACTTTTTTTTTTCTGTCAGTCTTAAGGGCTTCATCTCAGGGTTTGGGCTCTGTCCCTGAGCATTGTCACTCAAGACTAGTGCTCTACCAGTTTGAGCCACTGCCTCACTTCCGGTTTTCTGGTGGCTAATTGGGGAGATGCGTTATGAACTTTCCTGCCCGGACTGGCTTTTGAAGCATGATCCTCAGATCTCAGCCGCCTGAGTAGCTAGGATGACAGGCGTGAGCCGCTGGTACCTGGTGAGGCTGAGTTCTTGATGATTCTCTACCTCTGCACTCGTTGCTCTGGTTCACTTCCTAGTTTAAGGGCCTGGGTTTCCAGGCCCTTGAGTTGCTTGAGAGCAGAGACTCATGTTTGAGTTCTCAGTGCTCAGGGCAGGGTTCTGGGGTGGCACAGGTGAGCCAATGATTGATGTAGAGATACTCACAGGGAGGAGCCAGGCCTTACAGGGAGAAGGCAGACGTCTTCACGAAGTTGGCAGTGCCAATGAACTGGACTGTGGTAACTGGCCATAGCTGTGGTCTAGGGTCTGCCGTGTATCAGAGGAGCATGTGAGAACTTCTCTTCTTACAGATTAGTTATTGAAATCCTTGACATGCCCATCCTTTAAGAGTCCTCTGTGTGAGTGTGTGTGTGTGTGTGTGAAGTGGCCTTTTCTCAAGGGAGCATCTACCCGTCCTCGCTCGGTCTGCCTGCTCAAGAACTTTCTTCACTAGTAGAGCTGTGGCTCTACTGTGGTAGAGCGCTAGCCTTGAGCAGAAGAGCTCAGGGACAGCGCCCAGGCCCTGAGTTCAAGCCCCGCAACCACCAAAACCAAAAACAAAGAAAAAAAGGTAAGCAAGAACTATCTCTCTTTGGAGGATCAGGTGCTTCTGTAGAACATCTGAGGTTTAGTCGGTTCCAAGATCCTCTCCCCGCCCCCTAACCCCAGCCAATACTCAGCCTGGCCTGCAATCCGTGCACCAGCTTGGTAATGAATCTCCAAACTCAGGCATCTCAGGAAAATCTGAGTTCAGGGGAAAGTTTAAAGAAACTACCTTGAATCTAAGGCTACCTACCTTCCCTTCCACCCCCCCACCCATGCACGGAGAACCTTCCATTCCATTGAGAAGAAATTAGTCCCCCAGTGGCTCCCTCTGATAGAACAGAAGGATGTTGGATAAATCAAAGCAGGAGAAAAGAGGTTAGAGGTCAGGGGTCAGAGGTCAGAAGCCCCGAGGTCCTGGGAGAGATGAAGAAGTGGTTTTGTATCCCCTCGACTTTGGGCTTGTGCTTTTAACTCTTGGGGGGAGGGGTCAAGTAAACACTCGGGCTGCAGCTCTCCCCCGTGTGCCCCCCACAACCCCAGGTCTAGGCTGGCATTTAGAAGGGAGGACGGAATTCAGTGATGTCACCCACAGTTCCCCCCAGAGCCGAATTCACAGTTCAGAGGCATTGCCAATGAAGCGAAGGGAGTGGTCTCCCCCTCCAGCAGGCCAGGGGCCCTCCCCCTCCCCACGCTCAGCCCTTCCCCACCTCGCTGCCTTCCCATGGGCCGTCCAGTCCCTGGCTGAGCTGGGTACGGATGCTTGGAGCTCCACACCGGATGAAAAGTGGGGGCAAGGGAGTCACCACAAAGGACACCGGAGACGGACCGGAACCCAAGGGTCCGTCTCAGATGGGCTTCCAAAGGAACCCTTAGGGTTGGTCAAGGATGGCCAGGACACCACGGTCTTTTCTAAGACGATGGCCAAGGCTCAAGCAGAGTTTCTGGAGTTTAACCAATGCGATCATTAGTTGTGCAAAGAGGAAAATCAAGAGCGGCCTCTCCCTTCCTCTCCCTCCCTCTCTCTTCCCACCCCCCCCAACATCTCTTTCTCTCTTCTACCACCACCATCTCCTCCACACAAATAACCCTTCATTTACGCTCTTCTCGCCTCTGATACTTTTTAAGTGAAAACATGAATTAGGCAAACTAATCAATTTGACAACTGTTGAGCTTGGAGCTTCCTCCGAGTGCCGTGGAAATGGCTTCTTTACTTGAAGTCAGCTAGGATGTCGCTAAAGATGTTGAGAAACAGGTGAGCATGGTGATCCCTGAAGACCAGCGTGGGGCGGAAACGGATGGATTTGTCGCCGCAGCCCCCCAACACCACACCTGGAGGGAAAGGCCGGGGCAGGTTAGCTCTGTGGGATCCTCAGACTGCATGGGGGACAGGAATCAGGGAGTGCTGGCTGCCCTGAGACACCCACCATCTGGCCTTCCTTCCACCAGCCAGCCATCTTTCCTTCTTCTCTTCTTTCCTTTGCTCCACAGTGTAAACTAAGCTGGTCTTTGACTCACTTTATATAGCCCAGGCTGGCCTCCAATTCCTGGTTCTCCTGTCTCAGCCTCCCAATGGCTGATTATAGGCATGAGCCAGCCACCGTGCCCAGTACCTGCTAACTTTTGAGTACCTGTTCTCCTCCTCCTAAACATGGTTGGGTGATGAAAAAAAAAATGCTGGGCACCAGTGGCTCACGTCTGTAATCCTAGCCATTCAGGAGGCTGAGATCTGAGGATCACAGTTTCAAGCCAGTTCTGGGCAGAAAAGTCCCCTCGAGACTCTTATCTCCAATGAACCACTCAAAAACTGGAAGTGGAACTGTGGCTCGAAGTGGTAGCTTGCTAGCGTTGAGCACAAAGAAGCTCAGGGACAGCACCCAGGCCCTGAGGTCAAGTCCCACAATTGATGGAAAAAGAAAAAAAAATCCTGAGATAAAGTCTTTGCCTGCCAGAAACTCCTGGGGAGCAGGGAAAAAGAAAATAAGCAAGCCAGTGGATTATAGAAATGCAGGCAACAACAGAAGCGGGTGAGGGCTGGGAAGGTGGCTCAGGGGTAGAGTGCTTGCCTTGTATACATGAAGCCCTGGGTTCAATTCCTCAGCACCACATACACAGAAAAAGCCAGAAGGGGTGCTGTGGCTCAGGCAGTAGAGCACTAGCCTTGAGCAAAAAGCTCAGGGATATTGCCCAGGCTCCGAGTTCAAAGCCCCAGAACTGGCAAAAACGAAAACAAACCCAGAAGAACCCACCAAAGCACATGGAAGGGGCTTAAACTATGGCTGAAATCTCTCCAAGAGCCTCTCTTGTTTAGAGAAGGAAGTCAGGAGCGCTGTGGTGTAGCTCAGTGGCAGCATCTGCCCCACACCAGCTACGGCTGGGCACTGCCCAGGCTCCCTGTCTCCTCCCCGGACTTCCTTACCTTTGTTTCTGGCCAGTAAAATGAATTTATTCCGTATGGATTCATCTGGAGTGTCAAAGGAGCAGAAAGTGCCTCGTCCTCGTACCCTGCTGATGAACTCGGGGTACCGGGCCTGTAAAGGGGAGACAGGGAGAGAGATCAAAGAGGCAGCATGGCCAGAAGGGCAGTGCCAGATGCGAGGGGAGGGGGGGGGCGGCAGAGGACCTGGAGGTCCAGCAGCCCCGCCAGCAGGGCCTTTCCCGCATGTGTCACGTTGTTCAGCAGGTCCTCGCGGTTGATGACGTTGATGACCTCGGCCAGAAGCAGGTTCTTGGACGGGTCCCCCAACCAGGTGTTGAAGATCCGGTAAGGCTGGAAGGAAGCTGGGCGTCAGGACGCGTCTCAGCCTCATCCCCAGAGACCAGACGCGCCTCCTCTGGTGGAAAGGAGGGAATCTAACCCAAGGAGCGTCTCCCAGGCAGCGGGTGGGGGCATAACACATAGCACCTCATTGCAGTCCCATTTAAGCACCAAAGGCAGGTGCTGTTGTGGGAACACATGGTCCCCGGCCCAGCAGAGCCTGGTTCCTTAGAGGCGGTCATTAAGGAGGATTCGTTCTGAGACGTTTCTGTCACTGTGTGAAATCCTTGCGTGCACTCACACAGACTGACATGCTAAGACATTACCGGGTGCCGGTGGCTCACACCTGTCATCCTAGCTACTCAGGAGGCTGAGATCTGAGGATCACTGTTCAATACCAGCCTAGGCAGGAAGGTCCATGAGACTCTAATCTCCAAAGAACCACCAGAAAACCAGAAGTAGACTGTGATAGTATGCTAGCCTTGAGCATAGAAGCTCAGAGATAGTGTCCAGGCCCTGAGTTCAAGCCCCATAAAAAGCTAAGCCATCACTGGACAATATGGTCTTATGATTGGCTGGAGCCTTGCTATACCTACAACCCTGTTTTTTTTGTGAGTTTGTGTCAGTCCTGGGGCTTGAACTAACCCGAGGCCTCGGTGCTGTCCCTGTCCCTGAGGTTGTGAATCTGTTGCTGTTTTTGTTTTCTTTTTCTTTTTTGTGGGTTGTGGGGCTTGAACTCTGGGCTTGGGCACTTTCCCTGCACTCTTCAGCTCAAGGTGAGCGCTCTACCACTTGAGCCACAGCGTCACTTCCAGTTTTCTAGTGGTTTACTAGAGATAAGAGTCTCACAGACTTTCCTGCCTGGGCTGGCTTTGAACCGAGACCCTCAGATCTCAGCCTCCTGAGTAGCTAGGATGACAGGCGTGAGCCACTGACGCCCAGCTCTCTTTTCTTTTTGTCTTGTTTGTTCATTTATCTGTCTTTGAAAAGTAAGGGGGGAGGATACAGAAATGGAGGGACAAAGGGTGAACAATGAAGTAGTGCTCCTCAGTAGACACTATGTGGAAAATGAACTCTACAACTTGTGGGTGGCGACAGAAGGGAAAAACTGGGAGAGAGCGAGGAAAGGGGTGACACTGTCCACAAAGAAATGTACTCATTACCTGACTTAGGTAACTGTAGCCTCTCTGTACATCATCTTTATGATAACAATATTTTTTTAAAAGAGCGCGTACTTGGCTAGACTGTCACAATGGACGTGGGTACAGAGTAGCAGGGGTTCATATTATGGTTTGTGCACACCAGGAGATTGCCCTGGATGGCAATAAACATAGGGTGATGCTTGCTGGGCCTTAGAAACCTCTGCAGCTGGCTGGGAAGGTGGCTCAGTGGTAGAGTGCTTGCCTCGCATGCATGAGGCCCTGGGTTCGATTCCTCAGCACCACATACACAGAAAAAGCAGGAAGTGGTGCTGTGGCTCAAGTGGTAGGGCACTAGCCTTGAGCTGAAGAGCTGAGGGACAGCGCCCAGGCCTAGAGTTCAGGCCCATGACTGACAAAAGATAAATTAATTAAAAAAAAAAGAAAACCTCTGCAGCACGTCAAGGCTCAATACTTCCTTCTTGTGAGGAAGGGGTATGGGGTGGAGGGGGGGGGAGGGCAGCTCTAACTCACCGCGCTGGGCCGGAACTCCTCCTTGTGGAAGAAGCCCCCGGTCATCATCTTCTTGCTGAAGGTTATCACATCTGCCGGGTCATCCAAACCCCAGTGCTCGTGGGCCCAGAACTTTCCAGTGCAGCCCCCTCCAGTCTGGACCTCATCCACCAAGAAAGCACAGCCATGCTGGCCAGAGAGAGGAGCAAGGGAGGAACAATCAACACTTGGAACAGTCCAGCGGTCCCCTGGCCTCCCCAAACAACCAACCACCTAACCCCAGTCCAGCAGGACATGGTTGTTTTTGGTTTTGGTTTTTTTAATGTCAGTGGTGGAGCTTGGCGGTCTATACCTGCTATCCCAGCATGGGGAAGGTACAATAGCTGAGCGTAGCACCATGTGCCTGTCACTCCCAAGGATACAAGAGAAACACAAATAGGAGGATCACAGTCCAGGCCGGCCCGGGTGTAAAGCAAGACACGACCTCCAAATTCACCAAACGCAAAGAGGGACTGGAAGTGTTGTTCAAATGACAGTACACCTGCCTAGCCAGCTCAAGACCATGAGTTCAACCCTCAGTACTGCCAGCAAAAAGGAAAAAGAAGAGACTGAGGATTCTGCGGGGACCTGCTGGTTTACTTCTGTTCTCTTGTGCTGCTGGGGATGGAACCCAGGATCCCGAGCATGCTGGGCAATTGGGGTAGCACCGAGCACCACCTCCCCAGCCCTCATCCCACGCAGACCCCCAAAATAATACTAGAGTCAACTCTCTCCGCTCCCCCTCCCAGTCCTCTCACCTTCCTGGCAATGTCCCTCAGCTTCCTGAAGAAGTCATCTGACGCGTGGTTGTCTCCGCCCTCAGACTGGATGGGCTCCACAATGATCCCCGCCACCGTCTTCTTCTTTTTCCGATACTTCACGATCAGATCCTCCACCTGTACCCCAAGGGGACAAATGACAATGGCTTGGCCCAGGCTTCTGAGTAGCACTCGAGGAAGGGGACATCGGGGCTTTCCAGAAAGCCCTGGAGATTCGACGGAAGAATGCATTAGGAGCCCAACGTGAGGCTGGGAATGTGGTCTCCCTGGGACGGGAAGTGGCATCCACGGGGGAGATACAAAGATAGAGCCTTCCGAAGCCTCAATCACCCGATGTTGCCAGCAAGGATGTAATGAAAGAGTAGGGATGGTAACTGGAGGCTGTTGCTGTGACTGCTTTGTTATCGTTGTCTTATGTGGGTGTGAGAGTCTCTGGGGCAGAATGTGAGATGTGGTCTCATTTTACACAGAGCCACCCTCTCGTCTGTAGTGAGAGCGATTCCATCGGTGGGTGCAGAAGAGGGCTGGGAGGGCATGCATGCCCCATCAGACTGACCTGAGCAAACTGGCCAGGGGGATCAGAAACCCCTGCTTGGGGTGATGGTGTATTTATTTATTTCTCAAGATTTACTGAACTCAACGTTCACCCGGGAGCATTAATGTTGTGGAACTTATACCGGTCATCTGACATATAGTTAGTCCTGAATGAGCCAACTATACATGCAGTATTTCAAAAACTTTGTGGGAGGGGCTGGGAAGGTAGCTCAGTGGTAGAGTGCTTGCTAGCATGCATGAAACCCTGGGTTTTATTCCTCAGTTCCACACACACAGAAAAAGCTGGAAGTGGTGCTGTGGCTCAAGTGGTAGAGCACTAGCCTTGAGCAAAAGAAGCTCAGGGACAGTGCCTAGGCCCCGAGTTCAAGTCCCACAACTGGCAAAAAAAAAAAAAAAAATCTTTGTGGGGGAAAAAAAGTACCTCATTGGTAGTGTTTAAATATTACTCACGTGTTGACACAATATATTAGGTTCAATAAAATGCTTTTAAAATTAAATCTCACCTTCTTTTTATTTATTTTTGGTTGTTGTTGATTGTGGGGCTTAACTCAGGGCCTGGGCACTATCCCTGAGCTCTTTTTGCTCAAGGCTAACACTCTGCCACTTTGAACCACAGCACCACTTCCAGATTTCTGTGGATAGTTGGGGATAAGAGCCTCACAAACTTTCCTGCCCAGGCTGGCTTTGAACCTTGATCCTCAGATTTCAGCTTCCTGGGTAGCTAGGATGACAGGCGTGAGCCACCGGTATCCAGCTTCCTTTTTATTTATTTATTTTTAAACATGATGACTAGAAATGCTATCCTGGGGACTGGAGGTGTGGTTCAGGTGGTAGGACCCCTGCCTAGTGAGTGCAAGGCCCTGAGTTCAAGGAGCGGGCACAGGTGGGGGAGAGGTGGGGAGGAAATGGAGGCTGGGTTACCTCCTCCAGACAGCGGGCCTCTTCCTGTTCATTGTCCTTGACAAAGTCCTCCAGAGGGTACTTCAGCCTCGGGAAGGGTGCGATGGGCCAGTCGAAGGAGGGGATGTCGATCTTGTGAATGGCTTTGGAGTGTGTGGTCGCTAAGCAACCTGAGTCCAGCAAAACAGAAAAGACGCCTGCTTGGTGCGGGGCAGCGGAAGAGGCTCAGGCCTGTCATCCTAGCGACTCTGGAGGCTGAGATCTGAGGATCGCAATTCCAAGCCAACTCAGGAAAGTCTCTGAGACTCTCATCTCCAGTTACCCAGTAAAAAGCAGGAGGTGGAGCTGTGGCTCAAGTGGTAGGTAGCATGCTAACCTTGGGCAAAACAGTTCAAGCCTCATGACTATAACCCTTCATCCTCAAAAAGGAGAAGATGACAGTGTGGACGTGAAATCCCCCCAGAGTCCCATGGCCTGCAAATCCTCACCTTTGTTACACACCGAAGCAGAATTGTGTGTGTGTGTGTGTGTGTGTGTGCTTGCTTTATGACTTATCACAGAAGGCAAAGAGCCTCTGAAGATGGGAAATAATAATAATATCACATCCTGGCTCTGTCTTTGAGTGACCTTGGAAAGTTCCTTCCTTTGCTGACCCTCCAGGCCCCTCAGCTGGGAGCGTGTGGGAAAATGAGTGAGCCAAGGCCCAGAAACCATGGATGGCAGAGCCGCGGCAGCCATCACGACGGACTGTTGCAGTTATTGTGACTCCGAAGGCCCCTGTGGGACCACGCGGGTCCCTCCTTACCCATGGTCCTCCCGTGGAACGCGCCCATGAAGGAGAGCATGCTGTAGTCGGGACAACCGGGGGCCTAGAACCAAGAAACATGGCCATCAGTCACAGCTGTGCGATGGACTTAGCCCTGGGCAGCACTGCGCTGCCTGGTTAACTGGAGGAGACAGGAATCCATTGAGAAGACGCGGGCCACACACCTGGGACCTCTGAGATGCGTATTGCTCATGTATGAATTCACCTCTACTGAGCCAGGAAGTGGAGAACCACACCTTCCCCTCCTACACTGCAGCTACCCATTTCCAGGCATCCGGGCCTTGCTCCCAACAAACCTTTTTAAAAGTTCACTCAGAAAAAAACAGCAGAGGCATCAAGACTCCTCCCACCAAGGCCCTTTCAACCAATGCCCTTCCTACCAAGGCTCCTCCCACCAAGGCCCCTCCAACCAGAGTCCTTCTCACCCACAGGTGCCCCTCCTACCAAGGCTCCTCCCACCAAGGCCCCTCCAACCAGAGACCTTCTCACCCACAGATGCCCTGCCCACCAAGGCCCCTCCCTCCTAGGCTTTGTAGTACATCCCCTAAGACCAAGAACTCTAAGACCTCCTCCCAGCAACTTCTGAAATATTCTCGTCTTTTTTTTTTGTTGTTGTTGTTGTTCGTTTCCCAATTACACATGCAGATCACTAAGCATATTTGGACACAACTAGTAAAACTGTGAAATAAAATCTGAAAATGTTTGGCTGGGAAGGTGGCTCAGTGGTAGAGCGCTTGCCTTGCATGCATGAGGCCCTGGGTTTGATTCCTCAGCACCACATAAGCAGAAAAAGCCGGAAGTGGCGCTGTGGCTCAAGTGGTAGAGCGCTTGCCTTCAGCTGAAGGACTGAGGGGCAGCCAGCACCCCAAATCTGAAAATGTTGATAGAATAAGATATTCACCAAAGCCGGATGCCGGTGGCTCACACCTGTAATCCTAGCTACTGAGGAAGCTGAGATCTGAGGATCATGATTCAGAGCCAGTCTGGGCAAGGAAAGTCCGTGAGATTCTCATCTCCAATAAACCACTAGAAAACTGGAAGTGGTGCTGTGGCTCAAGCGGTAGAATAATAGCCTTGAGCTGAAGAGCTGAGGGACAGTGCCCAAGCCCAGAGTTCAAGCCCCATGACCGACAAAAAAAAAAAAATAATAAAAATAAAAAATAAAAAAAGATATCCACCAAGATAGAGGAAACACCCACGGAGATAGAAGAAAGCCCATTAAAAAAAAATAAGTGGGCATGTGGGGGAGTGGGGACGGAGAAGGCTGAGGCAAGAAGATAATGGTGTATTTTTGTTAGAATTGAACTCAAGGCCTTGCACCCACCAGGCAGGCATTTTACCACTTGAACCATGCCCCCAGTCCCAAGTCTTCATGTTTTGGGGACCCCCTCCTAACTAAGGAACACAGGGTCCATCGACCAGCATCATTCAACCTGAATTAGCTGGAGAAAGTTAGTGGAGGTATGGCTTGAGAGGTGGAGCCTCAGCATGTACCTGCACGTGTACACACACACACACACACACACACACACACAAACCCCTTCTCATCCCGCAGAGGCCACGAGGCCTAGCTGTACCTACCTGGTTAATCATGCAGCTGTCTAGTTCCTCTTTGGAGAACCCCCTCTGACCTCTTTCCTTGTTCTGCCCAAACAGAAGAGAACACATTCTGAGATGCTTTCAAGAGTGGCTGCCAGGGACCACCTCCATGGTGTGTGGTGCTTGCAGAGGAAGAAACAGATACCCCCACGCACATTCCGATGCATTACTCTCCTATGAGCCATGACGGATTCACTGACGCCAGGAAACCCAGCATCCTTACACTGAGTAGATTTGCGCAGCGCTGGCCTTTTGCGCTACATCACGCTGAGTGTGGGGAAATCTCCATCCAGGGCCTCGCTAGCTTTTAACCCTGACGACTGAGGTGTGTGGCTGGATGAGAGTGTGCGTGCTCGTGGCCCAAATCTTACCCTGTACCACATGAAGATGGTCTTGAATGCGTTTTCGTTGGAGCAGGAGCCGCAGGCCATGGTCATGAGCTGAGACATCCCTTTGGGGGCCACCTGTGGAAGGAGGCCAAGGGAGATAGAGAGGAAGAGAGAAAAGTGAGGGAGGGGAGCTGGGATGGGCTGAAAGCTGACACACTAACAGCACAAAAAAAGAATTTCTCCATTTTTGATGTGATTTATTCCATGCTATTATATAAAAACATGGCCCTAGACAGGTGCCGGTGGCTCACACCCGTCATCCTAGCTACTTAGGAGGCTGAGATCTGAAGATCACAGTTCGAAGCCGGCCCAGGCAGAAAAGTACCCATGAGACTCTTATCTCCAATGAACCACTCCAAAACCGGAAGTGGTGCTGTGGCTCAACGTGGTAGAGCACTAGCCTTGAGCAAAAGAGCTCAGGGACAGTGCCCTGAGTTCAAGTCCCATAACTGACAAAAAACAAACAAGCAAACAAACAAACCATGGCCTTATATTTTGGGAAAGTCCATGCATTCATATAAGATTTCATTCCAGAATCTGTTTAGTTGGGGGGGGGGGGGGTCTGTAAAAGTGCTAGGTCAGAAGCCAAAACTATTCATATGAAGTTAGTTTACTTGAGCACAGGAAACTAGATTTCAGCAGCCACGCCCTACCGACTCTTCCTGGTTATGAATCACAAACTCTTCCCAGAGAGTCTGCAAGAGTCCTTCCCTGAACTTACCGAGAGCAAGGAGTCCCGGAGCTTGTCCACGAAGTTCTCTGGAGGCAGGATGCCCAGGGCAGGTCTGTTGATAAACGTGCTCTGCAAAAGGCCAGCAGAGAAATGATGACTCTCAAACAGGCCCCAGTCCCTGCCCACCTCCTGCCTCCCCGTAGGGAAGGGGCTCAAATAAATCTCGAATGGCATCGGGGCTGAGGGTGTTCCAGAAATATCCAGAGTGACAAAGCTCCCTGAGCTTTTTAGGGATATTCATTGGGATTCTTTCAGTCTTAAAGAAAGCATCAGTATGTTGGTTGTGATATTGCTCCATAGTTTTTTTTTTTTTGTTTTGTTTTGTCAGTCGTGGGGCTTGAACTCTAGGCCTGGGTGCTGTCCCTCAGCTCTTCAGCTCAAGGCTAGCGCTCTACCACTTGAGCCACAACGCCACTTCCGGCTTTTTTGTTTTTGCTTATATGGTGCTGAGGAATCGAACCCAGGGCCTCATGCATGCGAGGCAAGCACTCTACCACTGAGCCACCTTCCCAGCCCAACGCCATGTTTTTTATATAATGGCACTGAATGAATGACATTAAAAAAATGGACGGAGGAGTACAGACCTTCCTGATTGGTTAACTTAGAAACACTGTCAGCTAAGCCCTGCCCCCTCGTGATTATATAGATATGTTATATTACCTCGAGTTGGGGCCCTTTATTTAATTCACTGAAGTTTGAGCACCAATAGTGTTTTTCCTTTTGGTTATAAATAATAATGTGTAGCTGGGCACGAGTAGCTCATGTCGGTAATCCTAGCTACTCAAGAGTCTGAAGTCCAAGGATTGGGTTCAGAGTCATCCCAGGCAGAAAATTCCATGAGACTAATCTCCAATTAACCATGAAATGGAGTTATGGCTCAAGTGGTAGAGCAGAAAAATCCAAGTGAGCACAAAAGGCCCTGAGTTCAAGTCATAGCATTGGTGCACACACACACATAATACTTGCACCTGCCACTTCAGTTCACTCGGTAGTAGCACGTTATCAAACTATGGAGCAATAGCCGGGCGCTGGTGGCTCACGCCTGTAATCCTAGCTACTCAGGAGGCTGAGATCTGAGGATCGCGGTTCAAAGCCAGCCCGGGCAGGAGAGATCGTGGGACTCCTATCTCCAATAAACCACCAGAAAACCGGAAGTGGCGCTGTAGCTCAAGTGGTAGAGCGCTCGCCTTGAGCTGAAGAGCTGAGGGACAGTGCCCAGGCCCAGAGTTCAGGCCCCACGACCGGACCGCCCCCCCCCCAAAAAAATCAGTGAGTTCCAACTACTTTATCCTGGACAGGAGAAGAACATGGCCATGCCCTCCACAACCCACAGCAGGAGGGGGAGGGGCTTACACATCTCTCTCTTTTTTTTTCCCCCTTTGGTCGGTCATGGGGCTTGAACTTAGGGCCTGGCCACTGTCTTTGAGTTCTTTTCTGCTCAAGGCTAGCTCTCTAGCACTTTGAGCCACAGCTCCACTGCTGGTTTTGTAGTGGTTAGTGGGAGATGAGAAAGTCCAAGAGACTCTTAGCTCCCACTAACCACTAGACTTTTTTTTTCCCAGGCTGGCTTCGAACCGTGATCCTCAGATCTTAGCCTCCCCAAGTAGCTAGGATGACAGAGGTGAGCCGCCAGCGCTCGGCACATCCTGCTTTTGGATTTTTCTGATAAGAATAGGTATTGCACCATGGTGATGCAGGAGACTTAATGGCAAAATTGTCTGCAGCCAGTGAACTCAAAAGGAGTTGGCTTCGTACGAGACAGAGCCGGGAAAGAAAGCAGAGAGGAAAGCTGAGGTTCTACAGAAGTGGCTTGGGTGGTAAAAGGCATCCGAATATGGTTCACACCTATAATCCCAGCTACTTGGGAGGCAGAGGTAGGAGAATCTGACTGCAGCCTGGGCAGAAGGAGACCCTCATCTCAACACCAACATATAAACGGTGGCTGTAGCGCAAGTGGTGGAAGAGTTGCCCAGCATTTTCCATGAGACCCAGTCCCGAGGGGGAAAAAACACTGGTGAGTTTAGGACTTGGTCTGGACCACTAGAAATTGGGGCAGAATTCACATCGCCATGGCTTTCTGCGTTTGAAATCATCCATGTACAGGGCTTCAAGTAGAGGAGGAAGTGGCCCCTCCTTTTTGTGAACACTCAGGGAATTTAAGGACCAGTTACTAGAGGTCAAGGAGCAAAACAGCGGCTCACACCCAAGCTTGCTGGCTTCGAACCTCCCCCTAACCCAAAAGATACTTTGATCTGCCCTTGGGGTCTGTGAAAGAGCAGTTCTTTCCAGCTCTGACTTGTTAAGGAAGCTCTTAAGAAATCTAATGCTGGGTGCCTGTGGCTCATGCCTGTAATCCTTGCTACTCAGGAGGATTGCTGTTCAAAGCCAGCCCAGGCATGAAAATCCGTGAGACTCTGATCTCCAGTGAACCATCTGAAAACTGGAAGTGGCGCTGCGGCTCAAGTGGTAGAGCGCTCGCCTTGAGCTGAAGAGCTGAGTCATACTGCCCAGGCCCAGAGTTCAAGCCCCACAACCGCCAAAAAAGAAAGGAAAAAAGAAAGCAATCTGGTGCTTCACAAGAAAGGGGTGGACCAAGCTGCTATTATGGGTTGCGGGGAAGAAGTTCCCAGAGGGGCACAGGCTGGCTGGCAGGCAAGCATGGCTGCTTATCTGGGACCAGGAAAGATGTGGGGGAGGTATTCTCACTCGACAGAGTGTGGCATTAAGAACAGAAGAAATCTGGGACACGGAGTGGCAGAACCAAATGAGGACAGGTTCTCCGTCGGCTCAGCATTCTGTGTGTGTGTGTGTGTGTGTGTGTGTGTGTCTGAAACGGGGTCTGGCTATGTCTTGCAGGCTGATCTTGAACTTGCTCCCTTCCTTCTTGCCTCCCCCTCCCAAGTACTGGGATTACAGGCGTGTAACTCGCACAATGCCTCTCAGTCTTGGAGAACAGAGCCGTGGGGGTGGGGAGACTTGCACATCGCAGACTGGCGTCCATCATCCGTGGCCAGATCCCTTGAGGGACACCCGGCTTGGGGGGTCTAAGGCCATGTGACCATGCATGCATGGGAAGGCTCAGTGCTGTAACTGCACAGCTCGGGGGATAGTGAGACCCCAGAACTGGAACCCAAGCCCAGCCTGGCAACACATGCCTATGATTCTAAGTGAAAAAGGAATATGATTTCACTCAGGTGCAGGGGGCTCTCGCCTGTCATCCTAACTACTCAGGAGGCTGAGATCTGAGGATCGCAGTTCGAAGCCAGCCTGCGTAGGAAAGTCCACGAGTCTCTTATCTCCAATAAACTACTGAGACAAAGCCAGAAGTGGTGCTGTGGCTTAAGTGGTAGGGTGCTAGCCTTGAGCAAAAGAAGCTCTAGGCCCTAAGTTCAAGCCCACACAAAAGAACACTGGCTGTAAGCAAAGCATTAGTTGCAGGCCCTGAATTCAAGTTCTACTGTTGATGCATGCATGTGTGCGCATGCACACACACACACACACACACATACACACAAGTGGAATTGTAGTAACACTCTGAAGATGGACCTAAGCAGGGTTTCCATGCACATAGGGGAGAGTAGTCCCTGCTAGAAATCCAAGTGGGAGAGGAGAGGGTTGGGGGCCAGCCTGTCACCTGCATAACAAGTGGGCCCGGGTGCTGTGTAGGAAATCCGGACCCCTGAGTTCCCATGTCACGCACGGTAAGGGCAGGGGGCGGGGTCTGAGTGTGCCGTGCAGACAGCTGACACTGAGAATGTGTCTGACACGATTGTTGACAGTTCTTCCGGCACCAACTGCCGGAGCAGCTGGGATCTGTGGGACGTTTCACAACAAAGCGGGCTTTGAATGTAAACACATCCTCCCCACCTCTGGCCACAAAGAACCTCCCCAGATGCCTTCCAAAGACACAAGTTTCCTCGGTTCCCAAGCCCTCCCGGGCAGGACTCCCCCACTTATACACAAAGCCAGAAGATGGCTCTGCCAGAGACTCCTCTTTTCTGTCAAGCATTTGAAGAGCCAGGCTCCGATGGCTCACACCTGCGACTCAGGAGGCTGAGCTCTGAAGATCCTGGTTTGAGGCCTGCTGGGCAGGAAAATCCGCAGAGACTCTTATCTCTGATTAACCACCAGAAGGCTGGAAGTGGACCTGGGGCTTACGTGGTAGAGGGCCAGCTTTGAGTGAGAAGCTGAAGGACAGTGTCCAGGCCCTAAGTTCAAGACTCAATACTAGCACACACACACACACACACACACACACACACACACACACACACACACACACTCCTCAACCCCCCACCTCCAGGAAATCCTAGCTCCGAGGTAGGAAGGGGACTTTGGGAGGTGGTTAGGTCAGAGAGTGGGGACCTCATGAAGGTGTTCTTGTAAGAGAGACCCGAGGAAAGTCATGGTCGACACACCTGCCATCCTAGTGACGTAAGAGAGGCATGAATAGGAGGATTGAGATGCGGGCTGAACCTCGCATAAAGCTCGAAAAATAATCCATGCATAAAGGATTTGGTAGTGTGGTTCAAGTGGTAGAGCACCTGTCCAAAAAGCACAAAGCCCTCAGTTCAAAACTCTCAAACTTCCAAAAAGAAAAAGGGAGAAATTCTCATGATGAACAATGATCTGGCTCCAAAGTCATTACTAACCAAGGTAGCAAAAATCCACACTGAGCCGGGCTCCGGGGGCTCACACCTGTCATCCTAGCTACTCAGGAGGCTGAGATCTGAGGGTTGTGCTTCGAAGCCAGCCCAGGCTGAAAAGTCTGTGAGACTCTTATCTCCAATGAACAACTCAGAAAAAGCCAGAAGTGGAACTGTGGCTCAAGTGGTAGAATGCTAGCCTTGAACAAAAGCAGCTCAGGGACAGTCACCAGGCCCTGAGTTCCAGCCCCAGGAGGCACAACAATAAAAATATAAATAAAATAAACAAATAAATAGACAAAATCCATACTGACTTGGATTTCTCCCCAGAGATTGTGATCCTGCCAGGGTTTTTCATTCCCTGAGAACCGGTCTTAACTCACCCTGGTTTACACCCGATTGTCCCCTGACCTCTGGTCTCAGCTCAAAGGTTGCTTTATTTGAAAAGCCCTTCCTCACATTCTCAAACAGCTCAGCTTCTGTGGGCTCTTTCCGAATACCCGTATTGGCTGTGTGATGTCAGGCACATACTTAACTTCTCTGTGCCTCAGTTCCCCCATCTATGAAATCTGATCACCATGGCACCTGCGTTACAGATGCTGCTGTGTTACAGCGGGAAAGAGTCCAGCACAGGTTTGGTATCTGCCCCAGCCTCCATCATTCTCATCATCCCCTTCTGCACACACAGCGCTGAGCCTTGTGCTTCTAAACGTGGTTGTTGCAATTGTCTACTGATGTGTGTGGCTACCTGGCTGCCTCCCAGGACAGGATGGTGGTGGTGTTTTTGCTCACTAAGGCATTCCATGGGCAGCACCCAGAGTGGGGATCCCAGAAATGTTGAAGCAACGATGAATACATGAATGAATGAATGAGTGAGCGAATGACTATTTCTAAAGGCTGCCCAGGGTCTGTGTGGGCCTGGATGACCTGTGCTCTGGGGTCAAGGAGACATACCGCATTGTGAGGCTGCTGAACGAGTTTCATGAGGGCCGGATGATTGTAACCTGGGGAGAGAAAGATATGGTGAGGATCCCAGGGCCCCTCCCACTTCCCTTCCAGTCCAGTCCATCCTGGCATACGATGACACAGCAGACTGGAGGCTAAGACATCAGCAAGCGGCCCCCAAGGACAGAGCTCAGCACTGGACATCATCATCATCATCATCATCGTCAGGACTCGAGTTTCCAAAACATACAGTATTCATTCAATGAAAGCATCTCACTTTTCTGTGTCTACGCCCATCCTTGATGCCAGCGGGGGATGGGCGCCGGCTCCCCCCCACCCCTGCTTTGTGCAGAGTCCCCTGGTCTATGACAAGACTGCCCCACAAATCTCAGAATGCTCTGCGGTGTGGTGCTGGAGTAGTTTAGAAAACTGCCCCGGTTGCTAGGTGGGGGGGGGGGGGGGAAGAGGCAGGGTCGGGGTGGGGGGGGGCTCACTCCTGGAATCCTAGCTACTCAGGAGGCTGAGATCTGGGGATTGTGGTTCAAAGCCAACCTGGGAAGACAAATCTGAATGACTCCTATCTCCAATCAACTGGCAAAACATTGGAAGTGAAGGTATGGCTCAAGTGGTAGAGGGAAGGAATGAAGGAAGGAAGGAAGGAAGGAAGGAAGGAGGGAAGGAGGGAAGGAAGGGAAGGAAGCCAGCCTAACCCCCCAGGGGTGGCCCTCATGAAAGGAAAACAACTCTCAGAAGAGACCCAAGCAAAGTCATGGAAGGCCCAGGGGCGGAGCCTATGGGAGGCAGAAAGGGGTGGGGCCAGGAAGTAGGAGGGGCTAAGAAAGAATAAGAAAGGGTGACTGATATAAACCCACGTGCATGTATGGCAATGTCACAGTGAAACCTCTGATTCTGTACAATTTAAATAAAGAATGGAGGCTCATGGGAGCTCCTCTGCAGCCTTTCACCAGTGACAAGGCAGCACCTATGAACCAGAAGGCGTGGACTGTCCTCAGACACTGAATCTGCCAGTGACGTGGCCTTGGCCTTCCCAGCCTCCATTACTATGAGAAAAGGTTCTGTTGCTGCTCTTCAGCCGACAGCATTTTGTCAGGGCAGCCTCACTGGACAAAGACCTATACTTGTCCACTTATCTTCTTGTACCGATTCCTTTTTTAATCGAAATACATTTACCCTGAAAGGACACAGTCTATTCCTGGGAGTAGAGACTGAATATGATGGGAAGAATTTTTTGCGGTTTGCCCACGGCTCAGAGCCTGAGGCCAAGAACAACCACCAACAACAACAACAGTGAAAGAGATTCCCAGATCTTTGTGCCCGTGGGCTGGAGAAAGTTGAATAGGAGGATCACAGGGGGCCAGCGGGGAGTGTGTTCACATTCTCCAGCCTCTCCCCACTCCCCCGGGTCACTGGGCTCCAGACTAGATGGCCTTCATCACTGAGGACAAACACTCTCTGGGTTTTTCCAACTGTTTTCTGGCCAGAGATCTTAATGTTCTGGCTCCTTATCGTGCTGTGCTGCTGGGGAGTTTATGAGCTATCTGCTTCAGCCGATAAGACAGGTCCAGGTAAATCTCATTAAACCACACTTGCAGTTTGCCTGTCTTCTTGACTCCAGGGGGAGGGAGAGGGAGAGGGAGCGGGAGAGGGAGGGGAAGAGGGGGAGGGGGGAGGGGAAGAGGGGGAGTGGGAAGGGGAGGGGGAGATGGGTTTTGGTGCTAGGGGACTCCCTCTCTCCCATTGCCAGGCCAGTGCCTACAAGTTAGTGACTTAGGTCTGGCAGACCCAACAACCTACTCCACACCTGCAATGAGGTGGACACAGAGGAGGTGAGGCCAGAAGATGCTGACAGCTGTGTTGGGAGGGGCGTCAGTGGGGGAGAGGATGGACCGACAGAGAGGGAGAAGGAGGATGAGTGGGTTGAAGGAGGCAGAAGCTGTCATCTTAACTCAAGAGGCTGAGATTGGAGGATTGTGGTTCAAAGCTAGCCCGGGTGGGAAAGTCCATGAGACTCTCATCTCCAATTAAGTACCAAAAAAGTGGAAAGTGGAGCTGTAGCCAGTAGGCTGGAGCACAAAAACTCAGGGACAGTGCTCAGGCCTGGCACAAAAAAATAGAGAAAAAAAGGAAGAAAGGAAAGAAGGAAGGAAGGAACGAACGAAGGAAGGAAGGGAGGAAGCAAAGAAGGAAGGAGGAGGAAGAGGATTGGGAGACAAGGTATACAGGTGTGGACAGGTTACAATGAAACCCTACCTTGCACAACTAATGCACACTAATAGCAAATTGTGAAAAATAGACGATCTTGTTATGGTTTGATTCTGGACATTTATTTTATTTTTGTTTGTTTGTTATGCCAGTCCTGGGGCTTGAACTCAGGGTCTGGGCACTGTCCTTAATCTTCTTTTGCTCAAGGCTAGTGCTCTACCACTTGAGCCACAGCTCCACTTCTGGCTTTTTTGGTTGTTTTAGTGGAGGTAAGAGTCTCGTAGACTTTCTTGGCCTTTGAGCTGTGATCCTCACATCTCAGCCTCCTGAATAGCTAGGATTATAGACACGCGCTACCAGAACCTAGCTTCTGCCATGGACATTTAATGAGATAACATGTCCAGCACCATGGCAGGCATCTAGTTTGAGGCTAGCTTGGGTTCTTAGTGAGATAAAAAGCCAACACTAGCAAATCTCAAAGACTATAGGTATCAGACAAAAAGGGACCAGAAAGAAAACTCTCAGAACTTCTGGTTTATACTGCAGACTTTACCCTCCCTACTGCAAATGTGGGCCTGAGGGCTAGGGGTTCAAACTGAGAGTCTGAGAGTTAGGGGTTCAAACTGAGGGAGACTTGGGAAGAAGGGGGTGAGGTTGGGTCCCAGGGTCATAGCCAACAGATGGAGCCAGGATTCGAATTCAGGATGAATTGAGAGCTCATCCCTTTCCAGTCCAGTAAAAAGGGGAGATGAGGGTTTAATAACGTCTTCGAACCCAGAGCCCCTTCGAAGGGCTGAGGCACCCCAATAATGAACCTCTCCAAAGATTTGATTTACTGTCTGATCACATCTTAATGGGAAAGACACAGACAGAGATGAAGAAATGGACTGGGGGAGGGGGCACTCGGGGGAGGAGCCTCCTGCTTCTGGAAAGGCTGGGGTGGGAGCTAGCTTTTGACAGGGTCAGGACACCGCACCACACCTTCTCTGCTGCAGACAGGTATCGCCATGTGCCAAGGACAGGCTCTACCGGGCCCTCCCGCAGCCGATTGCACAGACTCCCAGACCATTCACGCTGCGAACAGCCACCACGTCTCCAAATCAGCTCCGTCTGTCCTGTCCTAAGCGCCATGCGGTGATCATGCTCCCCGGGCAGGCCACCCATCGACCAGCTGCTGAGAACAGGAGTGCCGGCCGCCTTCGGAGCTTTCTGTCCTGCCCTGTGCCATCTCCCTGACTCCCCTTCCTTCTCCTAAGCACTCTTCCCCTATAGGTTACCCACCCGCCCTCTCCCAGCTCCTCCTAACCCAGCTGGACACCCGTGTCATGGCCTCTGTGCTGGGTGGTAGGATACATACCTTGTTCAGATCACTGGGAAAGGGAGGGAATGAGAGAGGTTGTGTGAGACTCGTGACATGTTACTATTGCTTCTTCCCTTGCCCTTGGGCTGTGTGTGTGTGTGTGTGTGTGTGTGTGTGTGTGTGTGTGGCTGGCACACACACAGCCATGATGATGAGGGACAGAGCAAGGTGACCCTCGAGGGCCCATGACCGGCTCTTACCTATGGGGACAGAGGAGATCTGAGAATACAGGTCCAGCATGCGATTGCCGTCCACGTCCACCAGATAGTTGCCCCGGCTCTCCTCGTAGTTGCAGAAAAAGTGTACGGCCTCTGCATTCTTAGGAAAGACGGAACGGGCTCAGACTCTCCAGGACTTCAGTGGTTCTTCATCTTTTAGGACATAAGCTCGCATCGAGTCACATTCTGTACACCGCGAGGGCATGCAGGATGTCCGTGGATGCTAGCGGTGCTGTGGGCCTTGCCCTGGTTTGCTTTACAGAGGCTCACTAAGCTGTGATTTGGTGTGTGGGGGGGTGTCTATGGATTTTTCTATATACTTCTTTTCCTACATCAGAAGAAACAAGGCTGACATCTGAGAAGTTGAGGTAAGTGTGGTTGGCATAGAGAAACCACTATGGTAGCCGGGCACCGGTGGCTCATGCCTGCCATTCCAGCTATTCAAGAGGCTGAGATCTGAGGATCACCTCTTGAAGCCAGCCAGGGCAGGAAAGTCCATGAGACTCTTATCTCCAATGAACCACTGGAAAGTCAGAAGCTGCACTGTGGCTCAAAGTGATAGAGCGCTGGCCTCGAGAAGAAAAGAGCTCAGGGACAGCATGCAGGCTCTGAGTTCAAGCCCTATGACCAACAAAAGCCAACCACCGCAAGAAAAGGGCTCCATTGGGCTGGGAAGGTGGCTCAGTGGTAGAGCGCTTGCCTTGAATGCCTGAGGCCCTGGGTTCAATTCCTCAGTACCACATAAGTAAAAAGAAAAAAGCTGGAAGTGGCGCTGTGGCTTGAGTGGTAGAGCGCTAGCCTTGAGCTGAAGAGCTGAGGGACAGCGCCCAGGCCCAGAGTTCAGGCCCCATGACTGGACCCAAAAAAAAAAAAAAAAAAAAGAAAAGGGCTCCATAAATTCAGAAGAAGTGAAATCACACAAAAACAACATGGGGATGAAAGTAGAAATCAATAATGAAAAGAAATTTGGGGACTTCACAAAAGCGTGGAAATTAAACACCACATAACGAATCAAAGGGACAAAGAAGAAATTACAAGGGAAATTAGAGAAAAAAAAAAAAAAAAAAAAAACGGTGTAAGGGAAAAGCAACTACATGTATGTTTCCTAGAAAAAAAAATACCCGGCGCAGATTGAGCAACTTTCCCTCAGAATGCGATAAAGAAATGGAAGGAACATTATTTCATCTCCACATACCTGAATTATGTTCAGCTGTCTCATTAACTCCTGCAGCAAGAACAAAGAGAAGGTTAGAGTAGCCAACACATCCTCTAATCAAATAGCCATACTCTCTTATCAATATAGCTCCAAGATCTTTCCTGTCATCCCAGCTCCCCGGAGATGGATGGGTATCAGCTGGCGTGGGGAGGGTTTTACCTTAGTATCTTCTTGTTGATAACAGAATGGCCTCCTCCTGTCCAATCTATCTTTGTCCTCTTTTTATTTTCTGTTCTGGTCCTGAGTTTTGAGCTCAGAGCCTGGGCACTGTGCCTGAGTTTTTTCAAATTTTTGTTCAAGGTGAGATGCTCTATCACTTGAGCCAAGGCTCCGCTTTTGGCTTTTGGGTGATTAATTGGAGACAGGAGTCTCAGACTTTTTTTTTTGTCGGTTGTAGGGCTTGAACTCTGGGCTTGGGTGCTATTCCTGCGCTCTTCAGCTCAAGGCGAGCGCTCTACCACGTGGACCACAGCGTCACTTCCAGTTTTTTAGTGGTTATTGGAGATAAGAGTCTCATGGACTTTCCTGCCTAGATTGGCTTTGAATGGTGATCCTCAGATCTCAGCCTCCTCAGTAGCTAGGATTACTTCTCAGGCAGAATGGCCTAGTTTAGTTTAATGCATGGATGTGTAGCAGAGAGCTCTCTAAAAACCCCAACAACACTGGTCCCTGGGTTTGGCTGATCTCTAGTCTCCTGGGTCTCTTTCTCATTTAATTTTGGAAACAAACCACTCAGGGCTGCAAGGCTCACCAGAGATCTAGGTCCCGGGACTTCGGTTTTCATCAGGGGCGCGTCATAATCAAACTCTACATCGACTTTGGCCGCAGCTTGGCTGATGTGTCTGGCTCCTGCATTAGACAGGGAGACAGGAGTCAGCAGACAGCAGACAGAGTGAGCATCTTCCCTGACAGATGCTCAAGCCCCCCCTCCCACCCCAGTCAACTTGCTGCTACCGCACAAGGTCAAGCTGAAAAACGGGGGAGAACCTACTACCAGCAAGGCTGTGGGTGAGCAGGCATGCCTTCTCCAAGTGGTAGAAGCGCAATCCCGTTTTCTGCTCTATTCTACTCTTTCTCTCTCTCCTTCTCCTCCTCTTTTCTTCCCTTCCCCTCCTTCCTTCCCTCCTCTCTTCCTTCTTTCTCCTCTCTTTCTTTCTCCTCTCTCCAGTAATTTATGGAATACTCCACTGAAGGTAAACAGCAGAATAACCAAAGGAAGTTCTGTGAACAGCACAGCTGGGTGCAGCAGCTTCACAGAAGGGCTGGCCCCGCCCCCAAGCAGCCCTGGCCCCGCCCTCAGCAGGACTGGACCAGGACTCCCGGGCCCAGGGTTCCCCAGTCTGGCTTGTGGCTTGGTCGGGGGGTCTTGCGGAAGACCCCAGGGCTTACCAGGCGCCAGCAGGCGAAAGGTGTTCTGGGAGCCGCAGGCCAGCTGCCGGGTGAGCAGCATGAAGGCCATGACCCCTCCCTCGGGAACAGAGGGACCCCTGCGAAGGAATGCAGACACAGACTTCAGCCCCCAAGGCCGGCAGCCCTGCCCACCCCGCACCCCACCATCTCCCCAAGCAGCTAAGGAGGCTCTTCCCATATCACGTCCTCCGCTTCTGTTTTGATTGAGACAGGGTCTCCCTCTATAGCCCAGGGAGGCCTTGAACCCTTGATGCTCCTGCCTCAGCCTCCCCAATGCTGGGATGGCAGATGTGTGCCACCATGCCCAGCAATTCCTTTGCTGTTCTATGGATTGCTGCATTCACTTTAAGCACATGGGTATTGCACGCACACACGTGTTCATTTGAACTCTACCACATGCAGGTAAGATGAGTTCTTATTCTCCCTCTCCGTGAGTTTGTGAACTCAAGGCCTCACACTTGCTCAGCCTGCTTGCTCAACTGGCACTCTACCACGTGAGCTACGCCCCCAGCCCAGATATTTTTTGTGTGTCTGTTGGGGCTTGAACTCAGGGCTTGGGTGCCCTAGAGCTTTTTCTGCTGAAGACTGATGCTCTACCACTTGATTCGCAGCTCCACTTCCAGCTTTTTGCTAGTAATTGAAGATAAGAGTCTTAAAGACTTTCCTGCGCAGGCTGGCTTTGAACCATGATCTTCAGACCTCATCCGCCTACGTTACCTAGGATTACAGGAGTAAGCCACCGGTGCCTGGCTTCAGGCATTAATTCTTAACACAATGTATTCCAAATAACAGAAGTTAGTGTCCTTAATGCCAGTCCCTTCTCTCTCACCCACGAATTCAATCTGCAGAAGTTAATGAGGCAGTTGGAGGGGGCCCCGAATTATCTAGCTTCAGGAGAGAGGAAGATGGATTAGACGCAGAGCTCTTTCAGGGGACGATGATGGGGTGAACAGTGGGAGAATGGAATGTTCTAGGCTGCTTTCTTCATGCTGTCATTAAATTCTTAAAATAACCCAGCAAGGTACATATATAATTTTTCCCCCAGCTCACTGTCAATAGAATTCTGCGTAAGACAGGCCAAATGGCAACTGGTTGGTGCATGCAGGAAGATGGGAGGCATTCTTCAGGTCCGAGTTAGACAGGGTAGGGCCGCCAAAAGTTCAGGAGGTTCTTACCTGACTCATGTAACGGTAATCCCTCTGTATATCACGTTTAAAATAAAACATTTAAAACCGTTCAGGAGGTGACACGCGCAAAAGATGAGCGGTGACTGGAGAGGGCTGGAGGTGTGGCTCAGGTGGTAAGGCTGCTGGCCAGGTGGGAGGCCCGAGAATCGAACTCTGATACTGCCCAGGAAGGAGGAAAGGAAGGAAGGAGGGAGAGGGAGGGAGGGAGAAGAGAGGGGAAAGATGAGAAGGGATGGAAGTACGGGGGAAAGTGAAAGGAAAGGAGGGAGAGAGTGTGGGAGGGAGGGAGGAAAGAAGGAAGGAAGGAAAGAAGGAAGGAAGGAAGGAAGGGAGGAAGGAAGGATGGGAGGAAGGGAAGGAAGGAAGGGAGGAAGGGAGGAAGGAAGGGAGGAAGGAAGGGAAGGAAAGAAGGGAGGAAGGAAGGGAAGGAAGGAAGGGAGGAAGGAAGGATGGGAGGAAGGGAAGGAAGGAAGGGAGGAAGGGAGGAAGGAAGGGAAGGAAGGAAGGAAGGAAGGGAGGGAGGGAGGGAGGGAGGGAGGGAGAAGAGAGAGGAAAGATGAGAAGGGATGGAAGTACGGGGGAAAGTGAAAGGAAAGGAGGGAGAGAGGGAGGGAGGGAGGGAGGAAGGAAGGAAGGAAGGAAGGGAGGGAGGAAGGAAGGGAAGGAAGGAAGGGAGGAAGGAAGGAAGGAAGGGAGGAAGGAAGGATGGGAGGAAGGGAAGGAAGGAAGGAAGGAAGGGAGGGAAGGAAGGAAGGAAGGAAGGAAGGGAAGGGAAGGGAAGGAAGGAAGGGAAAGAAGGAAGGGAGGAAGGAAGGGAGGGAGGAAGGAAGGAAGGAAGGGAGGAAGGAAGGGAAGGAAGGAAGGGAGGAAGGAAGGAAGGAAGGAAGGAAGGAAGGAAGGAAGGAAGGAAGGAAGGAAGGAAGGAAGGAATGATGGGAGGAAGGGAAGGAAGGAAGGAAGGAAGGAAGGAAGGAAGGGAGGAAGGAAGGAAGGAAGGGAGGAAGGAAGGGAAGGAAGGAAGGAAGGGAAGGAAGGAAGGAAGGGAAGGAAGGAAGGAAGAAAGGAAGCAAGGAAGGAAGGGAAGGAAGGAAGGAAGGGAAGGAAGGAAGGAAGGAAGGGAAGGAAGGAAGGAAGAAAGGAAGCAAGGAAGGAAGGGAAGGAAGGAAGGGAGGGAGGGAGGGAGGGAGGAAGGAAGGAAGGAAGGGAAGGAAGGAAGGAAGGGAAGGAAGGAAGGGAAGGAAGGAAGGGAAGGAAGGAAAGGAAAGAATGGAAGGAAGGAAGGAAGGAAGGAAGGGAGGGAGGGAGGAAGGGAGGGAGGGAGGGAGGAAGGAAGAAAGGGAGGAAGGAAGGAAGGGAGGAAAGAAGGAAGAAAGAAAGGAAGGAAAGAAGGAAGGAAGGAAAAAAGGAAGGAAAGAAGGAAGGGAGGGAGGGAGACAGAGAGGGAAGGAGAGAGTTAGGGAAGGGAGGGAGGGAAGGAGGGAGGAAGGAGCGGTGGGGCATGGGGCTCAGAGGTGTCATATGAGGAGAGACAGTCAAGAAGCCAGTTGCCTTACCTGTAGCTGATCCTGGGAACAATGCCAACTCTGACCTCAACAAATGGCCCCTTCTGGAGCTCCTCTCCAGGGTAAGCAGATGTCCCGCTGTTCTAAGCCTCATTGGAGGGTCTGTGTCTAACCAGGCTCAGGGGGGAAGGTGAGCACGAGCCGGGGCACGCGCACCCGACACACCCATGAGACATCAGGCTCACCAGGAGCTCCTGCAGCAGGCTTGGTGGAGGGCAGGGACTGAGCTGGGAGCTGATGGGACGAAGCTACAGATCAACTCTTCAAGCCTCAGTCTTAAGAGCTCCTATGGCCTTTAAGAATTATGGGTTCCTGCTGGGTGTGGTGGCTCCTGCCTGCAATCCTAGCTACTCAGGAAGCTCAGATCTGAGAATCATGGTTCTAAGTCAGCCAGGGGCAGAAAAGTTCCCATGAGACTCATCTCCAATTAACCACCAGAAACTGGAAGTGGAACTGTGGCTCAAAGTAGTAGAACACTACTAGCCTTGAGCAAAAGAACTCAGGGACAGTTCCCAGGCCCTGAGCTCAAGCCCCATAACTGAACCCCCCCCCCAAAAAAAACAAGATGTTAAAGAAAAAGATGGAAATGAGAGAATGACAGCTTTGTCGAATACAGATGTGCATGTATATATAACACATGTAATGTATAATATATAAAATGTCTTCACAATAAATATTTGCAGTGGGAAGGCATTTTTCTTGAAGTCAGGTTGGTTTTTTAATTTAGTCAAGGGTGGGGTTAGGAGAGATTCGGAGAATACTGGAAGGTGTGGCACTGATCAAGGTGTATTTTGCTCATAAACTGACATGCTCTATGGAAACCCTTTCCACAACTATTTCAAGATAATAAAAATGTTTAATGAAGTTATTTACCTAGATCCTTTCTAATCACTGCCTCCTGGTCTCAGTTTTATTTCCTGCACTAAAGATAACTGGGAAAAGAATATAACAAAACCACCGGGCTCCAGTGGCTCACACCTGGAATCCTAGCTACTCTGGAGGCCGAGATCTAAAGATCACGGTTCAAAGCCAGCCCGGGCAGGAAAATCTGTTGAGACTCTCATCTTCAATAAACCACCAGAAAAACCGGAAGGGGCGCTGTGGCTCAAGTGGTAGAGCATTGGCCTTGAGTTGAAGAGTTCAGGGACAGCGCCCAGGCCCAGAGTTCAAGTCCCAGGACTGACCAAAATTAATAATAATAACAATGATTTTAATAAGACCAAAGCAGGGGCTGTGTTGGAGTCCCAGTACACACAGGCGTATGTGTTCACGTGCACATGTGCAAATAAAAGTGCAAGGTTCACGTGCACATATGCAAATAAAAGTGCAAGGCATGTGATTCAGTTGTGCCTGTCCGGGCCTCGGCTCCAGGCACTGAGGCTGTTGCCTTGGGTAGAAAGGAAGACTAGCAAATATTACACAGGTTACAAGGCAGCGCGCCTCCAGTGAGGCTTTCTCCTCCATGTGCCCAGACCAGGATGGGACCAATCCAAACACTCAATAGACTGGGGTTGTCAAAGCACAGGGCAAGAGAAGCTCATTTCTGCCTGGGCTGGGAGTGGGTGGAGCAACTACAACTGCTTCTCTTTCTTGCTGTGTGTCTGTTGCAAGATGTAGCCAGGTAGTGGGCTCCATGGTCCCACCCACCTCTCCCCTTCCCATTTCCCTTAATTAAAATGCTAATTCCTTCTCTCGCCTTCCTCCTGTCTACCCTGTGCAAGGTGGGGAGGTGGGATGGGCGAAGAGGAGGAGTCTGATTAATGAAGTGAGAAATGGCTGTGGTTGGCTCTGGGAACAGTGATGGTGGCCGTGTCTGTTCCCCTATGTGTCACACCCCCTCTGTGTGATTTCAGCCATGCATGAGGTCCCCTTGGGTGACAGGCTCAGAAAGTTAAGGGGTTCACCTAGGGGGGGGGGTCAACGCTCACAGGCCTTCCCCAAGGAGCTTTCAATCTGGGTCAGGGTCCCAGCCAGACCTGCAAAACGTGCATCTCCCCAGTCGGACCTGCGCATTGGGGGTGGGGGTGGGGATGGGGAGCTGTAGATAATCCCCAAATGGACAGCTGTGGAACCCTGCCCATGACACCCCCCCAAGCCCTGGAAATAAGAGGGTGTCTGGCCCTGACAATCTAGCATCTTAAGAGATACATGGAGGGCTGGGAAGGTGGCTCAGTGGTGGGAGTACTTGCCTTGCCTGCATGAGGCCCTGGGTTCGATTCCTCAGCACCACATATGCAGAAAAGGCCAAAGTGGCGCTGTGGCTCAAGTGGTAGAGTGCTCGCCTTGAGCTGAAGAGCTGAGGGACAGTGCCTAGGCCCCACGATCACC